CCCAGGTACAGAGGGAGAAGAAACACTATAATTTTTCAGAGTTTTTTTATCATTAAAATAGTTTTTCTTTGCTTTGTTGGATGGAGGAATAGGCACTGAGTGTCTCGCTTGTGCCTCTCCAGCCCATTACACTGTGCAGGGTCATATATGGTGCTGTAAGGCATCATTCCTGCAAATGGTAATTAAGGAGGAGGAGTACCTCAGATGACTGCATGGGGTAGCAGATCTCCTTCTGTTCTTATGACTGCTTGGGGCAGACTCATTGTGCATTTTCCTGTTGAAGGGAATTGTTTCCTGCCATGCCTCTACAAAGCTACAGTTGTTATTTAGATGGCTCCCAAGATTGGCTATAATGGATTATATGACATATTCTTCTAGAGAGGGGCAAGTGGTCCTGCTGTGTGCTTAGCCTTGCCAAGACAGTAAGATTAGGCAGACTGGCAGGTGTGAGTCTGGGAACCAAAGGTGTTACTTTAGGCTACAAGGGAAACACCAGACAAGGCAGATCAAGGTGATTCACTGTTATTCTTCACTCAAAGATCCAAGGTGGGCATTGGGATAAACAATGTCAGGTCATACTTGACAGATAATTAACTTGGAAGATCATATGGGATGCAACAAGTGACAGTCCATGAGGATGCTGAATACAGCAAACAGACTTGAAACAACAAGGAACAATATTGGTTGTTTTTGTACAATTCAGTGAGGTTGGTGTTGCTCTTGAATAGTTCCTCTTAGATATTTACTTAAAAGATTTTGACCAAGAAATAAAAAATAAATTTTGATCACCTGAAATAGGAACATACCTGATGTTTCCATGAAATTTATCAGTAAGTAAATTTATTAGTAAGAAATTTATCAGTAAGAAATTTATCAGCAAGAAATTTATTAGTAAGAGCACCAGGGTTACTCTGTCCAGACAGCATCTGCTTTTCCACATAGGCATTTTTATTTTTGCTTCGGTGTTATTACACAGACATGAAGCAAAAGTACTTGTTGATATGAGAGACAAGTTACTAATAGTGGTGCAAAGAGTGAGACAAGTTCTGTTGCTCTTCTCCTTCCTCAAAACATCTAATAGACAAATCTGCTGCCATCCATGACTTCCCCAGCAATCTCCACTGCACTATTCATTTATTCCATGCTGGTACCATGTTTAGAAAGACAATGTTGAATTTCTTCCTGCTAATGCTGTCTCTAACTCTGAGAAGCAGAAAAAAATGTACTGTCTGTTTATCTGCATATCTCTCAAATGAAATTGTATTGAATTCATACAGAGGTCATGCAGGATATTTGCCACTACTAGAAATTACTTAGAATTTACATTAGTGTTTGTAAGAACTGAATGCAAATCTACTTACTCCTTTTGCAGTGATGTCTGTCTGAATTGTGTCTTTTAAAAATACTACTGAAGGTCCAATCTTCCCAGTCTAACTGTTTTTAACCCCATTAGCTGTTAAAAGAAGTCTTAAAAATACAGAAAACTGTAATAGAAAGGCAAGATATATGTATTGCACACTTTTGTTGCCAGTGATTTCTTGGAATAAGAATTTTCTACTCATGTTTCCTGTTCAATCACTAGAAGAGTTCCAGATGTGTACTTCCCTTGTGACATGGAGTCAGTCTGTGGCAGTACTGAACACAATATTTAGGTAGCTTAAGTAGGTGGCACTTAATGCTTCTGATGCATGAAATTGGCAATGTGGTCACATGTAAGGATGCCATTTTTAATTTCTGACTAGGAGTGCCCCTAGGAGATTGTGTGTTCTGCCAGATTGAAAACTTTATATTGGATAAAGTCACAAGACCCCAGGAAGAAGATGGACAGCAGTGATCACATGCATGACCTACTGTATATATTTAAGGAAACAGTTTAGACAAGTGATCTCTTGCTCCTCTAGTAGAACAAGTTGCCATTGCATAAGCAGCACTAACCAGCTTGTATAATTATTGAAATACCATTTCATTTAATTCAAAAACAATTCTTGAGGAAGCTAACCAAGAATACTGAATTTTTGAGGATGTAGTTTATGCTATGCAAAGACTGTGTTTTGTGAATAGCAGTAACCAGCAATAACAGAAGCCATTGATCTTCATGATACATTTAGGGGAAAATTCTGCATCCCTTTGCTGCATCTTCTGCTCTATGTTGTGTATGTGTTGCATGTGCAGAGGCAGGTGTGAGCAGAGTGGGGGCAGGATGGAGATAATAGCCTCTGCTAATCCCCCACTGGCACAGTGTCTATTAGGAGTCAGTGATGTAATTAGAGTTGAAACCCTGCTGTCTCTCATCTCTCAAAGTCACATGGCCACCAGTCTATCCAAGCATAACTTGTTCATTGTGGAGAAATGTAGCTTGAATATAAATCTGCTCTTTTGCTGTCCTGTAGACTGGTTTGATACAACATTGAAATCTTATCTCATTCCCCCACTCGCCTTTCAGAATATTGGCAGACCTGAGATGCCTGTTTCCAGGAATGGCTTCCAAGTACTACTACTTCCTTGTTTTAGAGAAGAGGATATGTACTCCTCTATAATTTGAGGTTCTCATAATTATGCTCAAATTAGGCCATACAAATACTTTTTGCCTTCTTTACTTTCTCCTGATTTACTCACCAGACTCCATAAAGTTTAAGCATTTTAAGCTCAGTTAACTTAATGTGTTTTGTCTAATTTGGACTTTCCTTTCTAGAGAGCCATGAGAAACATAGCCTTAGGAAGGCATTTGAATTTAAAGTGTTACTGAGCTGACCCTCTGGCATGTTAATTGCAGGAAGATGATGGCCACCCCACTTGCAGCATCCCTTAACAGCCTTCTGCTGCCCTGAGTCTTGCTGATTGCCCTCCAAGTGACTGGTGTCCCAAGTCCCCAAGCTGTACCGGCCCATACGGCTGTGAGGGCTACACAAAGACATTAACCTTCATGTCTAGCCCTATGTGCTGTGCTATAGATGGATTCAGCAAGCTAGTGGCAAGGGATCGTGTTACAGGCAGCTGCATCCAAGGGGCTCTTCTTCATTGCACTCAAAAATTCCACTCAGACAGCTGGCAGTTGATGCAAAACTGGGAGGAGTGGCTGGAACACCAGATGGATGAGCTACCCATTCAGAGCAACCTAGGCAGGCTAGAAAAATGGGATGAGAGGAATCTCCTGAAGTTCATCAAAGGCAAAGGCCAAATTCTGCATGAGGGGAGGAGTAATAAACAGAGCAGTGCAGGCCCAACTGGCAGGAAACCGCTCTGCACTGGAGTGCTTGGGGGTTCCTGGTGGGCAGCAAGTTGCATATGGGCCAGCAGTGTGTTCTTGAAGCAAGGGAGGTAAATGGCATCTGATCTGCTTTTGGAAAATCATCACTAGCAGCTTGAGGGATGTGATCTTTCCCTTCTGTTGAGCTCTAGTGAAACACATCTCCAGTGTTTGGTCCAGTTCTGGGCTCCCCAATAGAAGAAAGACACAGACATCATGGAGTAAGCCTGGCAAAGGGCCACAGAGATGATGAACTGGAGCATCTCTTCTATGAGGAGTGACTGAGAAAACTGGGACACTTCAGCTTGGAGCAGAGAAGGCTCAAAGGGGCATATCAGTGTGTGTGAATATCTGATCCCCCACACTGTAGAAGACAGGGTCAGAACTCCTGTCCAGTTCCCCAGTGTCTCTAGAACAGGGGTTCTCTCTAGAACCCCTGTTCTAGAGACACTGGGGACCTGTCTCTAGTTCCCCAGTGACAGAACTAGAGACAATGAGCTCAAATAGAAGTACAGGAAATTCCTTCTGAGAATAATAAAATAGTATTTTCTTTTCACTCTGAAGGTGACAGAGCAGAACACTTGCACAGATTGCCCAGAAAGGTTGTGGAGTCTCCATCCCTGGAGATACTCAAAAGCTGTCTGGGCATGGGCCTGGACAGCTGGCCCTGTGTTGAGCAGGGGTGTTGGAGTAGTTGACCTCCAGAAGTGGCTTCCAACTTCAGCCATTGTGGGACCCTATGAAATGTTTATTACTCCACTAATCTTCCAGAGTTATACATATAGGTGCACTTTCCTCTCTCCCCTCAAAGGGAGTCTGAGACGTCTATGTTACGTCTTCCCAGTGAGATTTTTCAGAAGGTAAAGTTACAAACTGTAACTCCATTAGTTATGAGTCATGGAAACATTGATTTTGAAAGGTTTGTATTTTACCCTGTTAAAAAGTTGTCTCTGGTTACAATTACTTTTTGCTTGCTATCAGTATTGTTTTGGTTTTTTGCTCAAATTGAAAATATGTTTGTGTTTTCAAAACAAATGTTATTGTGGGAAAAGAACCAAGCATTGCCAATTTTTTTCACAGCAGGAATATTTTCACCGGCTGGATCTGGTAAACCACTTCTGAAGAGAAAATGTCATTCTAAAACATACATGTACACAGTCACATATACACACACATTTGAATGTCCACATATTTTGCTTTAAATTCAGGCTACATAAAGTGTTCCTGTGGAACACGTCCAGGTCAGGCATGAGCAATAAAACTTGGGCTATATGTTGCTTGTACCTTTCTGCTTTGAAATAAACCATCTGTCAGTAAATATTTCTTACTACCAAGTCCCCCAGTCACACTGAAACCTGAGGTCTCATCTGCAGTATACAAGTATATTGAGTTTTTTTCTGATATATAGAACAGAAACATACTGTATGCATTCACTGCTATTTTATTGTTTCACATCAAATCTTTTGAAGTAATGAATATTTTCTGATGCAGGATTTCACTCAGGAGAAAGAAATCATGTTCCAACTTTTCCCTCTTGACCAGTAGACACTGAATCAGTCTGAAGAATAGAAAATCTTATAGGCTGTATTTAGGTCTGTAACAGTACAAACATTTTTTCAGGAAATTCGGTGAGTTCAGAAGTATGGTGCTGGTAGACAAGATCTGTGGTGGATTTTAATGCAATCTTTTTATATCACATGTATAATAAAATTTTGTATGGAGTTTACATGCCACATCCTCTTTTTCTTTGCAGGGTACATACCCAGTTACTTAGACAAGGATGAGCTATGTGTAGTATGCGGGGACAAAGCCACCGGATACCATTATCGCTGCATCACTTGCGAAGGTTGCAAGGTAAAAGGCATGGTGGGAAAGTGGGAATCAGAAATAGCTCTCCAGCTCCTCCATTATACAGACTTCCTGAACTGTGCTGTCAAAGCAAATAAAGACAGATTAGAAGCTAATAAGAACATCCAGTACTGATGATAAGCCGCATCTGACCATGCTGCTGCTCTTCATATGCATAAGGAATATAGTTGGTTTTTGCTTTTGAAAAGAAAACAAGAAATTTAGACTGGTGTTGCTGCTGTTTAACAGTTAGCTTTTGAATTTGAATTTTTTAATGTTTCTTTAGCCATGTTCTCAGCCAGGGTACAGCAGCATGTTCCCAGCTACTCCACTGAAGCTGTTTATGCAATAGCTAAGGTTCTGCTTATGGCCATGAGATTAACGGTGTTCCAGTGCCTCTCACCATCCCTGTGAAGAAGCAAAAATCAAAATCCTTTCCACATGCTCATATTACAGTAACATCCATCAATTTGGGAAGCATTGACACCCAATTAAAATAGTTTCAAAAAGATTTTGACTTCTTTAACTTAAGCACATTGAAATGTGCTTGCAGCCCTAAAATGCATCTCCAAGACTACATGCAAAATTAAATTTAAAAAGAGATTGCTTTGGGCAAGTAAATAAAAAAATGGAGTAACACAATCTGACACATCTTACATGATTTCACTGCCATGAATTTGCCTGAATAGCTTGAGATTCTGTAAGAAAGCTATTCTTTCTTGCAGAAAGTAAAAAAAAAATTGTTTTTCTAAACAAATGGGACCACACATGTCTTGGGCTGGTGTCATAAGACTAAGCCATGAAAGTCTCATTTTGTTCACCCACAAAGTCTGGAACATTTGGATATGATATTTTGGGTTTGGATTGGCTTTAGAGCTCCTCATTGCAGTAACTCTTATGTTGAAGTAGTTCTTTTGGTTGTACATCATTTCCCTAAGTTACATTTATGAAATGAACAGAGACCTAAATATCCCATGTATAGCAGATTCATGGTAATACTCATAATGGCTTTATACATATATTTACATACAAAGTATAAGAAAGTACTTATATCTTTAAAAAGAACTATGGAGCTGCACAAGTGGTTCTTACACATTTGCATCCTGAATACCAGATAATAACAATACATAACATGTATGGATGCAACTTAATTCAGATATAATGGGAAGTAAGCAGCGCTGGAGCATTATGAAGTATACTTAGCTCCCAGCTGAACAGCTGTATTTGTTGCGAGTTTTCCTGCTAAGATTTTCATTACTTCAAGTCAAGTAGTTCTTTTTATGCCTTCCAGCTATTTTAGAGACATATCATACAAATTTGCTTTTATCTTCACATACAGTTCTTCTGTCTGATGTACAATTTAAAATAATGTTTATGCGCACAAGGACCTGAGATAAAAATTTGCAAAAAGTAATTATTTCCTTGAAGGAGCTGCATACACGTTTCAAGCTGTATGATATATCAACAAAGTTATATGTTTTATCAATACACAATATATATAATAAATTTTCAATTAATTTGATGTTTACTAGTTGCTTCCACTCAAAGTCGCTTTAGTTTTGTAACAAGCATAATCAAGGCTGACAACCAAAGATTTGCTTTGGCAAGTGCTTTCATGAACTTCATTCTCACACATGATTTCTGAAGAGTAGATTGTGAGGAATTTAAACAAAAATAAATGAGCAGTGAGTTCTGACATCACTGAAATGTTTTTCCTGACTTTACCCATTGCATCTACTGCTATATAGGTGTGTAGCAAAGGAGTTTGCTACACACCTTTTAGAAAGAGAAAGAGTTGCTCCCTACTATACAATGTGCTTTCTTTTATTGATGAGAATAACACTTCTGTGGTGAAGTGTTTGGACAGATATAGAGAGCAGCTTACTTAGCATCTAGCTGGACATGAACAAAGAAGGATTTTTGCAATTTTTTTCTGAGAAATGCAAAGAAATGAGAAGGTGAAATGGGCTGTCTCAGCAGAGATGATGGAGACCCTTGCCAACATAAAGCTAGCGCTACATTAAGTCCTGTGCAAGGTTTAGAAAGCAGAAGCTCACTGGCTGAGCTTAATTAGAGATTTTTCTATCTCTTGCTTCATAACTATTGATAACCCTGTGACCCTGTTGTCCACAGCCATCTTAGGTCTTCAGGAAGGGGTGGAGCAGATCCTATCTCTAGGAATTCATCACAGGGTTGAGAAGAGAACCTAAACTGGATGTTCAGTAGATGAGAGTTTGAGACTTATTCCAAACCCCACATAAGGATATCTTGCCTGTGATTTCCTAGATTTTATCTTAACACAACTGGTCCCAGTCTTGCAAAGGCTCCCACACAAACTTTATGCCACTCAGTTTAATTAACATTTCAGGTCTTACCATAATTAAGAAAGAAAGAGTTGTACTCTTAGCTCAAGCTGAACCTCGTAAGATAAAACTCTAATGAGGACAAGGCTCTTCATTGTTTTCACAGGAGTTAGGAGTACAAGCTGAAATACAGCCTTATCTGTACAGGTTAATTCAACACTTTGTGTTAAAAGAAATTGCGCACTGCTGTAAGATTTTACTGGGTATTATTTAACATGATTTAAAAACAGACCTTTCGCCTACTGAAGTGAAGAGACTATTCATTAGACAAAATCCCAGCTGAAGAGACTATTCACAAGGTAAAATCTCACTTGAATTTTGCCGTTGTTTTGACTAAAACCAAAGCCATTCTGAACAGCCTCAGTCAAACAGGACCTGAGTGTCAGTGTGTTGTCTGTGTCAAGGTAATCCTGAGCTGCATTGCTGAATCTAGACAGTCTCAAATAATGGTGAAACTTGAAATTGAAGTCTAAATTTTCTGCTTTATAGCCTATCTTGTTCGTATCCTTCAGTCTTGGGGAGTTTATCCAGCCCCTTGCAAAAGTCAGTGAGAAAAGTAATTTTGAGATTATTACCAGGATTTTGTCCATAATGTTTAGAGATAACTTTTGTCTGATTTCATTACTTACAGCAATGTTTTATGGGGCGTTTGAATGAGTGAATTCAGTGTGATTGCATTAGTTCATATGGTCTTAGGATCTGTTTAAATTTGCAAGATAGATCTGTATTATGGTAAGATGATAGATCATAGATAGATAGATAGATAGATAGATAGATAGATAGATGAATCTTTGGTGGTGATGGGGCTTTTGGGGCTTTTGAAATTCTGTGGTAAATACAAATTAAATCTGCTTCTCAGAAATACAAATAATTCATAAATTAGGGATCCTTTGAGTTTAGAACCAAACTCAAAGATTGTGTAGACTGTATTTGCAAAATTTTTTTCTTGCCCAGATTTGGTTGGTTATTTGGCTTTTATGGAAATAAAGGAGTGGAACTGTTTGTCCTCAATCCTTTAATAGCACAAACACACCATCATTCTTACTATTTGCAGAAGCTGCTTTTAAATTAAAACTATGTGTATGCCTTTCAATATCCTTCAGAATTATTACAGAGTTTGAAAAGGGGCTCAAAAAATACTTCATATACAAAAAAAAAATTAACAGTAAAAAATATGACTACCACAAGACATGTACACAGTATTTGTGTCTCAAGACAGCACTGCTTGCACCTTTACTTATCTATAATGTCTATAAGTTTCTAATTGTTAAGGTAAATCAAGAGAAATGCCATACACTATAAACTGGTTTGAGAGCTTTGAGAATTTTTGGGAATGAAGTTTGTTATCTTGCATAGTTAGGTACATGCCTAACAAATCAACCAGCTCCCAATTTTTAAAAATTGCTCAGTGCTAATGCCTTCCAATGTACTTATTTCTTGCACCTAGGGTTTTTTTAGAAGAACCATTCAGAAGAACCTCCATCCAACCTATTCCTGTAAATATGAAGGAAAATGTGTGATAGACAAAGTAACAAGAAATCAGTGCCAGGAATGTCGCTTCAAAAAATGTATCTTTGTTGGCATGGCAACAGATTGTAAGTATATTTTCCTGGTTTTTCTTTATTTTATTTTTTTTTCAGTGTCTGTGTTTGCCTAAAGTATGTTGATTGATGAAGCTTGTTAAAGTAAAGTAGAACTGCCAGCCCTTTTCTGGATTTAATAATACCGGGGAATCGCACTCGTTGCATTAAGCCACTTTCACAGGGCTGTAACTTTTTGTTTATCCTTCATCAGGGTGCACCTTCTCCTGGCCTTACCAAGCTGAGTGACAATAGGGATGTTCACTGTTTGGAGGAGAGGAGGGAGAAATGCATCTGGATGGACACTTCACTTGAGATAAAAACATCTTGTTTAGAAAATTCTGGAGGATGTGAAATTGAATGTCATTGTATGAGTCATCCTGCAGTTGTTTGTTTTATTTTTAGCCCTGAAGAAGTTATCTGCTGCAAAGATTTTGAGTCTTTTCTAAAGAACTAGAAAATATGGCTGTAAGATTAATCCTTAGGGGTCTTCTTTTCCTGCCATTGCACAGGGATTTACACCAATAACTTCAATTACTACAAATGGGAAGAAGTCACGTTAAGCCCCCCAGAAGTCATATAAATCCCCTTGTGCCTTCATGGTTGTTGCCAGTATAATCCTTTGCAGAAGAACTGACAGGAAAACAGGCCCAGTAAACAACAGAAGAATAGTCTAACTTAGTATTTTCATTGTTAATGTAATGTATAACAGTTCCCTCTGTCTAGAGGGAAATAGAATAAAGGGGACATTTTCATTGTGGCCAGGTAGGACCTTCAGGGAAGGGGCTGGATACCAGTGAAGTGATGAGCAGAGAGCCCTGGGACCTGTGTGTCTGGAGTCACTGGAAGGAATGGGGCTCTACAGGAACATCACTTGTGGGGACTGGGGAAAGAGCTAAAGGCATGTTGACCTGTTTGTGTCATGCTTCAGGCAGATGAGCCTTCTGTGAATAAGTGCTCCCACTTTCTTTGATCCATGTTACCTTCTGCTGGCACACAAGTATATTTTCTGCACTTCAGAGCAGTGAGTGTGAGAGCATGCTGATAGGACTTCAAAGAAAACAGAAGTGCATCTTTCCCAATATGGATTACTCCAAGTCCATTATAGGAGCACTTGGACACCTCACAAAGCTTTTGCATATTACTTTTATTGGTGGAACAACCCCTTGAGGGCAATGGCAGTATACAAAGCATTACCAGGATGGTAAGTCACTCTTTGCTACCCAGGCTTCTGAGAAAATGAAGTTTGAAGGGCAAAGTAAGAGAACTGTCTCAGCTGTGGGTCTTGCCAAGGCACTTCCTTACTGATTAGTTAAGGTGTCTGTAAGCAACTGGTACCTCAGGCACGCAAAAGACCAACTTTCTGACAGTCTTATGAACTCCCTGCCATTTTTGTGTTTTTTCCCCTGCTAGTGGTGTTGGATGACAGCAAGAGGTTGGCAAAGAGGAAGCTGATAGAAGAAAATCGAGAGAAGAGACGTCGGGAAGAGCTGCAGAAGACCATTGGGCACAAACCAGAGCCAACAGATGAGGAATGGGAGCTCATCAAAATTGTTACTGAAGCACATGTGGCCACCAATGCACAAGGAAGCCACTGGAAGCAGAAAAGGAAATTTCTGGTAAGGATTGTAGCCTTATACACTGCTCTTAGAGCCAGGTTCTGTTATTTCTTCTGCGGTGCCTTCCCAGCATTGCAACCCCAAAGAGATTTTATTGCCAGTGTACTGATGTTTGTGAAAAAAGGGTGATTTTGCGTAGTTATTGCTTCATTTTTCGTGCCTGAACCTCAGTGTTTGATCAGACCATGTATTTCAAAAGATAAACAGTGTGTTGCTATGTCAAGGCTTACTCAGCTTGATACTTTTATTGTGCTGTGATAAGAAAAAGTAGAAAAATTGTTTCTCTCCTGACTGAGAACAGAAGCAGTCTATAATACGTACTGTATTTTTTTAATATATTCCATCTAGGGATAGTTGTCTTTATTAGGGACTATCATAAAACATACTGAAAGTTTTAAAACAATATAAAGTTCTAGATGAAAGCTGGTAGTTTTGGTTAATAACTCAGGGGTTTTGCCTCTTTTGGTTAATGGTGAATACAGTACTGAAAATAAATTAGGCAAGGAAAATTAATTTCAGTGAGAACAGGATGATACATACACTATACCATTGGGGTTGCAGCCTACAAAACAACTTGGATTTTCATCCTATAACTAAGGGTCAGAAAATTAATGTTGATTTATGATGCTCGAGTTTAAAAAAGGATTTATTTGATTTTTCTAAATCGATTTTTAACGGAAATAAGTGCAGAATGCAAAATGCTTCTACCACACAAAAGAGGGATTAGAGACTGCATTTCAGAAATACACAGGAGTGTTTAACAGTCAGGGTATACTAAATCAGATAGAGCACACTCATCTTTTTGCAAGCCCAGGTTCTTACTGTGTAATTCACCATGGGAATTTCAACTCGCTGTTGAATTCCTCAGAGAAATTATGTATTCAGAACAGCTGATCTCTTTCATAATGTTGGTGTTTTTTTAATGCCAGTGACACCATCTATATTTCTATATGAATGGCTTGTGTCCATAGACTCCACAGTCAGGAAACCACAGCCAGTCCTCACTGGCAAGAACCACGAGAGCGCTTTCCAGGGGTGTTGCAGAGCAAGGTGTGAGCAGACCAAGAAGCAGCTGCAGTAGTACTTTTGTTTGCTTAGACAGGAGGCTGTTCTTCAGGTATCAGCTGGTTTGGGATAAAACCTAGGGAGCTGGAGGTTGGGGCTGGGAATGAGTTGTTGAAGAGCAGGAGAAGCTGACAGTCTGCCCCAGGAGTTATGGATCTGTCCTTATGTGGCTGAGGCTGGTTCTTTGACAACAGGGACTTCATTAGGTCTACCTTACCTCTTCTCCTGTTGAGTTAGGTGGAAGGGGCTCCCCTCCAGGGTGTTAGCTTTAGCTGGCTCTCCTGACTTCCTTTGCCTTTCCCAAGAAAATGCTGTGCTCTTCCTTTTTCTCCATAACAATGATTTGCGTGAGTTTAAGCATTTGGTCTTTTTTGCTTGGAAGGGATGAAGTTTGTTTATCATGAGCACACAGACAATGTGGTTTAGTTACCCAAGATTCAGGGAGGGAGAGAGCCTAGAAATGAGTTTGAGTTTTTTAATAGGAACCATCAGATAATTGAGCCCAGTCTTCTTCATTGTTCCTTTACAATTGGTGCTTGCTTTATTAACACATTGCTGAGTTTTTTTCTTATAAGAAGTTAGATTTGGATTTAGATTAGTTACAGAAGGATCTTTTATGATGTGTTTCTTTTAAAAAGTCGTTGAACACAAGTTTTTATTACAGACAGCACTTTCAGCACCTCCAGTGTTTAAGCATCTTATATAAATGTCATGGGGCCCATCAGTCTTAAAGGTCTGTGTCTCTGGATTTTATCTAGTTTTTGACCTTAATGTGAACAGAATGAAATTTCTTCATGGTGTTTGGTAGGTGTTTGTAATTGCAAAGCCACAGTTCAAAAACAAAAACAGTTTTGATGTGCCTGTTTTTAAAAGACATGGTAACATTGACCAGCTGCACAAAAAACAAGTGAACAAGTTCAAGTGCAGTTGGAATAAAAACCATTCATTACAGATTCTCCTTGAAACTATTTCATTGTATATCCCTATTGAAATCCTCAAAATATGATTTGTTGTTCATTTGGAGAAGCCTTGAGCTGAAATCATGCAACAGGCAATTTTCAAACAAAATTTTACACAGATAAGTTCAAATTCCATTTACATTATCCAGGGCACCTTTCAGTTAGCCTGTTCTTTCTTGCTCTTAAGTTGTTTTTGCTTTGCACATAAGCTGTTTTAGCCTTTTGGAAACCGGCCTTGGCAATTGCCTGGGGGATGCTGTGTGATACCTGGCAATCTGTTCTGGGGAGGCTTTCTGAGCTTTGAGTGGGTGAAAGAGCCTAATTCTGCAAAGCATGCAGCATCTTCTCAGGGGTAACATGTCTCCTCAACTCTTTGCTTTTAGGGAAACTTGAGAGCTTTCAGCTGAGAGTTTTCCTGTAAGGAAAAGCGTGCCTATGTTTTTAAGCAAAAGATGTATGTGCTGCACCCATAAAATGCATAGATACAGACACAAGTAAGAAACTATGTGCACAACAGCCCAGTTGTCCACAAAGAATGGGTAGAAGCATACCAGCCACCCATTTCTCTGTGCAGTCACCTCTTTCACAATGAAAATGAATTCACAGATTTGTATACCTTAGAAATGAATTCACGTTTTGTGACGTAAGCGGACTTCACTTATAAAGCAAATAGCGTTTCTTTTTATTTTAGCGCCTCTGCCATACCAAGCAGGACTTTTTGGAGTATAAAATAGTTGCTCTAAGACAGACTGCTCCTTTAAATGTCTTTGTTTATATCCTTAGCCAGAAGATATTGGGCAGGCACCAATAGTTAATGCCCCAGAAGGTGGGAAAGTGGATTTAGAAGCCTTCAGCCAGTTTACAAAAATTATCACACCAGCGATTACAAGAGTGGTGGATTTTGCCAAAAAGTTGCCTATGTTTTGTGAGGTAAGAAGACTTTCTTGCACTCCTCATTTATTATGCCTGTTGTTAAAAACTACTCAAAATACTCTGGCATGGAACTTAAAAAATTCAGTTTGCCTAAAATTAAAAAATTAAAGACACTCAGAATTAATGGGAATAGAATAATCTGTATTTTCATTAATTTTCTTTTTCCTGTGATTGCTGAAATCCTGAGTTTGTTAATCTGGAAGTCATTGTGGTTCATTAGGGATTCAGATATGTCTTTAGAGGTGGCCTTCAACAAAGCAAATTAACAAAAAGGTACTGTCTAGAAGGTTCCTTGGCAGGTACAGTATTGTGGAGTTAGGTCTAGACAGTAAAAAATTCTTGAAATTCAGGAAAGCACCCCTGTCCAGAAGTGGCACTTGCCTCATTGGGTTTCCTAGGCTTGGTTTTCCTGAATGGGGAGGTTGTGCATAAAAGAGTTTGTGAAAGCAATGGATTGTCATTCCAAGTAGATACTCTTAGGTAAATATACAGTAAATAGACTCAAGGACTTGGTTGCACATAAGGAATACAGAGGTCTTAATCTGATCTCATTTGTACCAAGGTATCATTTTTATTGAAGGACCAGATGCAATGGCTGATTATATTTTTTTTCCCTCCGATTTAATAAATGGTATCAGAACTGCAGCCTGAAATAATATTTCAGTCTTAATAATCTAAATAATTTTCAAAGAATCATAGAAAGGTTTGTGTTGCAAGGGACCTTAAAAATCATCCAGTTCCAACCCCCTGCCGTCAGCAGGAACACCTTCCATTTCATCCTTTGAGGTCAACACCCTACCAGAAAGGAAGGGTAATGCAGCCATCAAATTTTACTCTACTGTGGCTGGCATCTTTTTTTTAAAGTCATTCAGGGAGTGCTATATATGTTCTCTGGCAAGTACAGAACAAGAAGAGGTAAATATCAATAGTAGTCACAGTGTAAATATCTCACCCTGGCCAGCCTCTGCATTGGTCATCAGCCATCAGTCAAGGAAGCATGAAATGTAGCCAAGCATGAAGATTTTAAAATACAAGGAATATGTCCATAGCTCATGACCATTTAGTGTCTGAGGGAATCAGTCTCCTCTGATCTGGCATTTGTTGGTGGGAAATTGCAGTGACATACCAAGGAAGTCTTTTTAATTTAGAAAGCTCTGCCAGTCACACACAGACCTCAGTGCCCATCTGACATCTCCTACCCCTCCTGGCTACCATGGACCCACTTGTGTCAGAGCTAGGCAGGAATCATGGATGAAGAAGTCAAGGTATTGTTGAGCATGACGTCTCTATGTTATGTGGCTCAGCTGGACGGGCTTTGTTTACAGCTGAGCACTGTGTAACCCTGACACCTGCCCAGATACAGCAAGATCTGATGGCTGGGTGAGGGACAACTCCTCAAGAACACAATGGAGTAGGACAGTTGTCCTCCAAGTTGTCATATAGCACTTCCTGTAGCATGAAGAAAATGACAAATGTTTGCTTCTTTTTGAAGGGGCACCCTCCTGTTAACTTTGTTTCCATTATGATTTTTAATCCATACCTTTTTCTTAGAAGCAACACTGTGTGGGCTGTAGATTTTTTACAGGACAAAACACTTCTTTCTTCCATAGGATCTGCAGAGCATTTAAACATTAACTCAGTTCATAATTCCAGAGGCTGTCTGAGAATGCACTAAATCTCTATGAAAGTGGGACATGACAGGGAGCAACCATGGCCACTTATATTTTCATAAGGCTACTTTTCCTTCTTTTTCACATCTCTGGACACATGTAGAAGCCAGCAAAGCACTGAGTGCCCAGCTTAGCTTGTGTGCACCCATTGTTCCCTGCCTCAAACCAAGTATCCAATCCCAGACTAATCAAAGTATAAGGAAAACTTGATTTGCTTCTCAGCATTTCTCCTGTTGTTTCTTTCCTGCTTTTCTTTCTGCTTAGAAAATGGAGGAGAATGTAATAAGTTTAAAGTGGGTTTTAAATGTCAAGGCATCAGTGGTTCCACAGTGGGTGAAGCTGTGTGAATACTCTTTGAGATCACTCAGGTCAGCTCAATTCCACGGTGCTGCATTGCACGTGTCCTGCAGAGGTGAGCCCTTCAGGTTCCTGCCTTGTGCCTTTTCTCCCTGCAGAGAGAGAGGAAAGGACAACACATGGCAGAGTTTCAGTCACATTTATTGATCCTGCTACTGGAAGATGCTCTGGTGGCAACACTCAAGTGATGAACGTAGGTAGCATTAAAATCTGCACAGCTGGGAGTAGAACTGATGTTCAAGCCTCCTGTCTCTAGTAACTCCTGCTACTGGCAGATAAGACCTGAGGCTTGGCATCTGTGAAACAGGTGTCCCATGTATCCTTCAGAATTAGAAAAGCAGGTGAAAGACAGGTGTGGTCAGACTGCCTCTACCATAAAGAAGTTTTAAGAAGGATCAAGTAGAGAGAATTGAATTCGTTTCATGGCTCACTAATAAAACAGCTGAAGCATCACAAAATATCTTCTCTACTGTTACCTATTTCTTTTCTACTATTCTTCCTACTGTTTAGAAGCTTGGTGTTTTTTTTCAATTCTCTTTTCTTGTCCCTTCTCTTTGCCTTTCTTTCATGTTCTTTTTTTCGCTTCCATTGCTTTTTCCAGTATCTCTTCATGGTTCCGCTCACCAATCTATTCTCGTTTTAATTTTTTTTAAACTCTATTTCTTTCCCTTCTTCAGTCTCTGCTGCCAAACAGTGGAATTGTCATTGGGTAGCAAGACTTCTGCTGTGCCTGTGCAGTCTTCCTCGCACTGCTGCTGAGCTGAGGGTCATCTGTAGGGAAACTGATTTGCTCTGAACAGGATGAGTCAATTTTCTTGTGTATTAAACACTTCACACCTGAAGCTGGCATTGCTGGAAAAGTAGCTGCATGACTCAACTCATTTTCCTGACCATGACTAGCTCTGTGCTTAAAACTCTGCTCCAACTGGGAACTGCTTTCCACTTGCATTAGGTAGCTCTGCATCATTTCCCACCAAATCAGTGCACTTGCTTTGCAAGTACACTGTTGCCATGTAAACCTATTGTTCAGGGGGGGTTCATTTTTGAATTGCAAAACAGGTAAATATAATAATTTTATATAAATCAAAAATAAATGGCTTTTTGCCTCCTTTCAAGCCAAGCAGAAGTGTGTTGCTCTTTCATATGTGGGACCATTGCTGTTCGCTTACAGTCTCAAAACAGTCTTGGTGGGTTTTGTTATTGTTAAATAACTTATGAAAACATAAGGACATTCTTTATAGAACATGTTCTGCTCACATGTCAGCATCCTGGTTATAGTCTGTAAATACAGAACCTTTGGGCAGCTTGCCTTTGTTAATGGCATGGAAAAGTCACATGCCCTGAAGATCACAGTTTATGCTGCAGCATAAAAGCTGTAGCTATACTATAGATTTTCTGTCTGTCCGGCAATAGTGCAGGGAGAACAGCCTTACTAGATTAAGTTTAGATTAATAAATTCTCTGTTGTTAAAATGGGCAGTGAGAATTCCTGCTCCACTGATTGAGCTATATCCTGTAGATATAAACATTTATTTAAAACACAGTCCACTCTTACAGACCCTCCCAAATGTCTTTCCTTTCCTCTGGTCAGGTAAGAAATAAGTATGGCTGATAGTGAATTTAACTGGGATGGCTGAGGTTTGCACCAGCCCCAATTATGGTTTATTCTCCTATGATAAGTTGTAAGCTGAAGGAGCCAACAGCTGTGTTATTGCTAGATTTCCCAAGGGTGTGTGGAGATGCTAACCAGGGATTGTTAACCTGCTGGCAGTTCCTGAAGACAGGAATGCAGATCCTGGGGGTTTGTGCAGAGCAGCATGTTTGGAGGGGAGCTGCACTATGCAGGACAGTGTCCTGGGCTGTGAACTGCAACTTTGGGCTCGTGGATCTGTTGTAGCTGTAAAAGCCACTCAGTCTGACAAACATGAATTTTTCTTTGCCATTTATAATTTCTGCAGCTGCCATGTGAAGACCAGATCATCCTTCTGAAAGGCTGCTGTATGGAGATCATGTCCCTCCGAGCAGCAGTTCGCTATGACCCCGAGAGTGAGACTTTAACACTGAATGGGGAGATGGCAGTGACAAGGGGCCAGCTGAAAAATGGGGGTCTTGGCGTAGTGTCTGATGCCATTTTTGACCTGGGCATGTCTCTTTCTTCATTTAACCTGGATGACACCGAGGTTGCCCTTCTTCAGGCTGTTCTGCTCATGTCATCAGGTGAGAACAGAAATATATTGGGATCCAAACAATTTTGAAACTCTTTGGCCTTTGTCACAAGCCTCTTTATAAAGAAACAAGATAGGTTAGATCTTGTAGTGCTGACTAGAGTAATGTGTGAGAGAAATTTTCTCTCAAAACCCCAGTGACTTATTTTGGTAAGCATCATAAAAAAAATTCAGAGTGTTCAGAGAGGTGGACATAAAACTGGTTTTGGTAACACACCTTGCTCATTTTGGTACTTAGGAATGAGCCAGGGATGATCATCAAGAAGAAATCAGTTCTGATTCTGAGCCAGTTTTCCTTAAATGAAAAATGGATAATTTAGCAACACTGATCCTTATAATAAGTTCCCTCTTCCCCCAAGCAATGTCATGCACTGGGCATTCATACACATTTACACCAGTCTCATATGCTTAGTTTGACTTGCCCTCTTGTTTTCCTAATTAACAGCACCAGCGCTTCCTAATGGGCATTTACAAGTGCTGCTTCCCTACACTGGGACCATTTGCAACTGGTCATGATACAAAAGCAGCACAGACAATTTCCTATGATTTCCAAAGAGTTTCTAACCTTCTCAATTTGAGTGTGTTTTCATATATGCTTCTAGCGATTGTGCCAGCCCAAAGAGGAAATTCCATTCTTGGGCAGTGGTAGATCTGGCAAGATTTTATTTTAAGATGCTTTGAAGATTGGGCACTGAATAACAATACACAATCAGTGATTTACAAGCATTAACTGTATCTGAGATAAAAAGATTTCCACATTAATCACAACACAGCACTTTATTTTCTCCATCAAAACTTTTTGATTTCTTTTTTAGGTCCCTACACACTGATATGGGAACAGGGTTTTCAAAAGCTAATTCAAAAATGACCTGCTTTCCCAGAGGTGTCTCCTGAGAAGTGATGTGAAAGGGGCTTTCCCAGTCCCCATCTGGGTGCCAGTTGAGACAGCCAGATTTTCAGCCTTTGTTGTTCCTTGATGCTCCATAACAGCCCACCTGGGATCAAAGCATGATCAAACCATTAGTCAGATTGTAGAAAACCAGATAGAAAGGAACTGTAATTTAGATACCTGACAAGGATTTTTTTTTTTGTTTCTTTATTAGTTGTTTTATAGAAAAATGTAGATAGAACCCTTAGCTGCAATCAGGAATCTGATGTTCTAGTCACTGTAAGGAAACACTTCCCAAATGTCTACACTCTGTGTAAGTGTGTGTAAGTGAGCAAAGCAGGCATTGGATGAAGAAAGGAAGGATTATCTTCTTCTTTTAACAGGCATAGTACTAGCAAGTGAGTTGGCTGGAGTGAAAGAAGTGAAAGTCTCTGGTCTCTCTCCTTTCTTTCCTAACATCAGAATCATCCTGTTTTTCCTGATTCATGATCAGGCATTTGTTAAAGCAAATATGTAGGAATGATAATTCTGCTGCTGCTTTGTATCTGCAGATCGCCCAGGCCTTGTTTGCGTGGAGAGAATAGAAAAGTGTCAAGAGGGTTTCCTCCTGGCATTCGAACACTACATTAACTACAGAAAACACCATGTTGCACACTTTTGGCCAAAACTGCTGATGAAAGTGACAGACCTGCGAATGATCGGAGCCTGCCATGCCAGCCGCTTCCTGCACATGAAGGTGGAGTGCCCCACAGAACTGTTCCCTCCGTTGTTCCTGGAAGTGTTTGAGGATTAGAGAGACTGAAGTGGTTCTCCACACCCCGGTCGCACTACTGGCTGTCATTTCATCCCATTGCCCAGCTCTTCTCACCTGTTTGTTCTTCTTCTTTCGTGGTCTTCTGTTTCTTGAGATGGGGCTGGGGTTTTGTTTGAGTTTTCTTTTGGGGTTGCTGGGGGCAGTTGTATACACATGGATGAAAACATCCCTTTAATGCGGGTACTTGTGACTATTGCAATTTGTTCTTCAGTCCTTTGATGTGAGTGCTTTGACAGCTTAACAGTGAAAATACGAACAGACCAATCTCATTCACCAGCATTTGCGTGGTCACCAGCTCACACCCATCATTGCCTGGAAAATAGGGGAGAGAGACTGAAGTGGCAGAAAAATAAATTTGCCTTCAAGTTGAAACAGCTATTGTTAATTTGACCCTGACAATTCTGTCTTTTGTTACTCCTTTTGCAGGGTACAACTGACCAATTCATAGTACGAAATTTCTGGTCTTTGTCATGGTTTCTATTGTAACAATGACCACTATGATCTAGAATCTTCATTATCATTATAGTCCCATCATTCTCTGCGGTTTTTTCCAGCAGATGCAGTTTAACTGGGCCCCATAAATCAAGTACTTAAGATAATGCAGTGTTAGAAGGGACTGAGTCTTGTTGGTCTTTCTTTTTTCCATGTGTATAAGATATTAAGATCTTCAGTTTCTAAATTTGGACTCCAGGTAACTTCACTGGAAGGTTTGTTGGAGCAAGGACAGAAATTTGATTCTCTGAGGTGCTCCTGATAGTGGAAGGGTCTGCTTTTTCTGAGGTGTGTGGAAAATCTACCACTCTGAGGGAGAAGGCTCTCTGTCAGGATAGCAGGCAGTGTCTCAGAGTTAATTCAGGGATGTGAGAGCTCACGGAATGACAACAAGGAGAATGGAACATATGAGGTGACTTTCAGATAGGACAGAAACCAACTGTGTTATTAACAACACTCAAGACTGTAGAGCTTTATCCCAGGAATACAAACAGTGTTGCTCAGCAGTAATCCTCTGTTTTTATATATATATATATAAAGTTTATATGCACCTATATATATAATTTTATATATATATAATTACAAATCTTCAACAGATGTCTTAAACATATTTCCGTATTTTTATCTTCTCTCTCTCTCTGACTCTGCCCTTTGTGTGTGTGCATGTGGATCAGCTGAGTTCTCCCTCCCTACAGGTATGTCTATATGTGTTTCATTAGGCTAGATGCTCTCTTGATTCTTTTAATTTATTTCCACTAACTGCACTAGCAGGAACCAAACTGAGCAATGACAAAATGTCCTGCTGCCGAAGTCTGCAAGCCAGTACACACAGTCCTGGAATGTTTGGAGGCCAGTGATGAGGACATTGTAGGTAGAGGTTCCTCTCTCACCATCTCCATTCAGGGATGTTGTCCCTGGGTTTTATAAACTTGATATTAAATCATCCTCTGAATTTGTATGACACTTCTAAAAAATCTTTCTCTTCTTCCTGGGAACCAGAGACTTAGTTCATGTTTTTTGCACTGCCTCATACCCTACATTCTTTCATGCTGTGCATTGATTTGTACCAGTTTCTTTCTCTGCTATTTATTGTCCCATTTGCCCAGCAAGTTGTGGGCATTGTTAGAGTGCATGTGTTGACTTTCAAAGCTCGTGGCCCATATCTGAACCCATAGGTTATGTACTTATCCCCTCATAAAAACAGGATACTCAGGAAAACTAATAGATGGAACACGATGTACGTGTGTCAGGAGTTAAACTTTTTCTACCCTTCTTTCCCTACATCATTGATAAAGCATGTGGAGTGCAATTGGGCACATTTTTAGGGATGTGGAATCTTGTTCTCTCTGTTGTTTGATACCATATGCACCTGTGATGAGCTGTGAGCACGAATGTTATCACTTAGGGGGTTTTTTGTCAGAACATGAAACACATTGGGGTGTGTAGGAGTTTTTCTGCAGGTAGCAGTGAAGACACACCACTGGAGATTATTTCTTAAATATTTGGTGTAAAACCTCTTTTGTTGGCTGTGTTGGCTCCATCTTGAAGCATGTGTCTAAACAACATCTCTATCCAAATTCCTTGTAGAGCACAGTCTTGGGGGTAAAAAGTCAGAAACTGGCTTTTTGGATAGGTGATTTGGAGTGACTTGATGGAGGACTTACAGCATGTAGTAGGGAACTCAGAAAAGCAGCCAATCCCTTACTTGCACTGATGCCTTCACAATCTAGAAACAAAACAACATACTTTCGAGACAATATTAATATAGCAAGGAATATAAAAGCAGAGTTGGAGGCCTCCAGGTGCAAATATGGCAAAATGAACACGTGATACAGGCCTTCTGCAATTTTGTGAGTTTAATAAATTAGCATATTTAACAATAGTGTTCAATTCAAAGAGCATTTAGTTATGTAATCCCCCCTTTTGGTTCTGCCCATTTGGAGCCCCTTCTGAGTTTCTAGTCCCATATCCCACAGTGGCTTGCAAAGGAAAGAGAAATGTGCATGTCTTTTGAAGCCCTGTTCTGCCATGGATCTGAGCATGGAATTCCTCCTGAAGCCAGTGCAAGTACTTCACCTGTTTGCTTAATGTGAGCTTGAGTAGGCATTCAAGCTTTTGACTGTGCTGCAGGTGAGACCCAGGAGAGGAAGCATCACACCTCTTCTTCTTCCTAAATACCAATGCAGTTTGGAGCTGTGCTTAGTCAGGGTTCAGAAAATCAGGCCTCCTTCCTTAGGTGATTGCAGATGGACTGAAGTGCCTAAAATCAGGCAACCAACTTAGACAGTTCTGGCGGTGCTCTAAGCAGAAAGGACATACATCAACATGTTTTTCTAGCTTTTCAGGTTAAGTTGGAGTCTGGCACTAATTAACAGACTGAGTTAGTAGTATTCCCTAACTGAAAACTAAGACCAAGCTCATAGTTGGACAGATTTGACAGATGGATGAACTGACATCTAATGGCCTCTGATCTCCTACCAGTTTCTCTCATTTCCTTTCCTTTCCTCAGTATGACTTCTGATTTATGTGATCATGAGAGCAAAACTAACTTACCTTAGCTCTGCAAAGACGTACTTCTAAATATCAGAGATCTCAGGCCATTGTGGGATTGAGCCCTGGACTGACCACCTCAGTGGCAGACACCAATGCCACCGCCAGCCCCCTTTGCAGTACCTGGCCTTCTGAGTGAAATAACAAACTTGTGCTTTCCAGCACAGTCCAGAGTCTTGTTTCTACTGGTGCCACGTGGCTCTCATGTTTGCTTTGTGGTCTACATGTGGGTCTCACACAGAAGGTTTTTCCTGTCAAACCTGATTGTCACCAATCCTGGTATTGCCCTGAGTGACATGTGCATTTAGATACTCATTTCATGTGTAATCTCAGTTAAGTTGTGATATTTATTATAACATATATAGTGTGTGCTAATGGTTTTTGTTTACATTCTGCCAAAATGTAGACCTTAGATTTAGACCTCCCAGGTCCAAAATCATCTTTAAGCAGACTGCTTGCTTCTTCAGAGGCAGGTATGAGAAAGAGGAAAAAACTGTCCAGAAAGACCATTTATATCAGAAATCTGCCAAGAGAGGGCTGTTAATCACAAGCAGAGCATGTCATTGCTAGTGATGTATTTTTATGCTATGGAACTCTAATCTGTATGTGTCATATTGACTTCTTGCTGCATGAATCATAAATTTTAAAAATCAGTCTTACAGTTTTGAGATGTAGCCAGCATTCCTAAGGCTAAACCTTTTTCATTGACAGAATCAAAATCCACAACCAAGGAACGTTTTCCTCTCACTGTGAGAGCAATTGAAAGTGTTCAACATTTATCTTTTCACAAAGGAAGAGGCAACAGAACCTCTTAATGTGTCTTGTTATTGTGATCATCTGGAAATGATTGCCAGACATTTCCTTTTGATATAGTAATGAAGTGATCTGTATTTAAATTTTATAGAGAGAATTTTATTCTAGTGTGATAGAGATTTATTTTCCACTTAAAGACTCAAAACGGTGTGAGCACGTTTTTGGTTTGTTTTATTTTTTTTTTTTACTATGGTATATTTTTGCTTTAAAATTAAAAACAAAACAAAAAAAAAAGGTTTGGCCTTATCACAAAGTTTTAGTATAGATGTTAGCAAACGCAAAGAGTATGCATTATTTGTGTGTATCCACATTGACTGATGTCGCCTTCAAAAAGCAATATTGTGCAGGTAATAAGTTGTTTGTGACTGTCCATTGCACAGTTTACCTTCTTTAAAAGCTAACCTTGTTTATGCACAAGACAATCAAATGTAAATCTACATCAGCACCCAGGTGTGGATTAAATTTATGTAAATTACTGAGCACAATGTAAAACATTAAAAGACACTTTATTTAATTACACATTTAATGTTGGTAAAGATAGTATCAGGGCATGAACTAGCTGACATACTGTAATTTCTTTTTCTCTTTTCCTACTTCCTTAGCACTCTACAGTTTCAGTTTGCTCATAAATACATCAAATTAGTCATTCATAATTTTTTTGAAGAGGAGAGTGGTTTGGGTTGTTTATTCGTTTTTATGAAGTCAGTTGGGAGGACTTACTACTTTGTCTATGAGGGTTGTGGGTTTTACTTATTTGGTTAATTTTTTTATATCAGTTTCATGCCCTGAGGGTAAGGCAAACATTACACCATACAGTAAAAAACAAAGTACCTTGGATGATGTATTTTTTTGCAAACAGTGTTAAGAGTTATGCTAGATTGGTAATATTTTTTCAGCCTAAAATATATTAAAAAAATCTGTGATCACAAATGTTTTAAACTATCTAAAGAGAAAATTTGTATATTTGGGGAAGAAAATAATTTTTACATAGCTTTTGTATGCAGATATTAAAATGTAATTATGAATATAGTGGGCATAGATAACTGTGTAAGCTTGAATTCTAAAAAAGAAAAAGCTTATAACTGAAAAGTGGTCCTGGTGTCTCTGTCTCTTTGTTGCAGGCTCTTTTGTCAGCTCTGTCTCACGCTTCCAAACCACTGGAATGGGAAAAGTAGAACCTAGAGCACAATGTTTTATCAGCTATAACCTGTTCACATTTCTGTGCTTCTGCATCCCTTTCATCACCTACCTCATATCTTATCTCCTCTCCTCCCTTCCCTTGGGCAGCCAACCAAAGGTTTTCACTTCCTCACTGTTCACAGCAGCCAACCTTAATTTACTCCAGTGAACTGACTCTTGATTTATGTCTCACTCAATTACATTTTTTAAGGGAACGCCCTTTCTTTCCTTCTCCACTCCCAGTCTAAACAGGGATGGTGTGACAAGAGCAATAAGCTTCCCATCCTTTCATACTTTCCATACCTTGGTCCCCTACCTATTGGAGAAGATCTTCTCATTCAGATATTTTCTCTAGCCTTATTTTCCTTTGCAGTTCTTATTTCTCCTCCAGTTCTTCCACTCCCATCAGGAAGAAGCCAGGTCTATTGCCTGGATCCAGAGCAATGCCTTGGCCTGTCCCAGATGGCAAACCTGTTCTGGGCTCTTGTTTCATGGTGATTTCCACAGGCATTCACTGGCTGCCTGCCAGCTCCTGCTCCTGGTCCCCTTCCACAGGAGGTGCCAGGAGCCTTCCAAGGGATGCTGAGCTCCCTGAGCTGCCCTGGGAGCACATTCCTGACACCTGGCTGCTGTCCCTGGGCAGTGCTGTGCCAGCAGCTGGAGGGTTTGTTCCCATTGTGGCCTGTGGGAAGAGGGGCTGCCTTCAAAGGCAGGAGCTGTGTGTGAGGAGCCAGAGGGCAAGCATGAAATCCCTGCTGTGCCTTCAATGGAATCCCTCCAAGCCCTGCAGTTCAGGCACCACCTGGGGAAGCCTTGCCAAAGCCTCTGCTGGGTTTGCACCCAGCGAGCAGCAACGTGGGTTGCTTTGGCCCCCCAAGACCAGCTCTGGAGTGAGGAATTAATCTGGTGTGTAAAAACTTGTTTACTTAATGTGAAGAAATAGTTCTGCTTCCACAGATGCCAGTGCTCTGGGTACAATGTTTTCATTTGTAGTGGTGAAATCTGTTTTTCAAAAAGGGGTGTGGTATCTGTGGATTCTGAGAGCCACATGAATTTGCTTCAGTGTCTATTTATCACTACAGAGAAGGACATAAGGAATGGTAGCTTTTCCTCTGGAGCTCTGGCACTAAAGCAGGAATGTGTTCTTGACCTGCTGTGGGCTGCTTCTTGCACCTTGAGTCCATTGATGAACACAGGGGCTGTTTGTTTGCCCACTTGGTGAGGTGGGTGAGGGTTTTCTGTCCTTGAAAACTCAGCCACGTCTGAAGGATTTTCTCTGTGAACTTGGAAGTCTAACAACAAACATGTGTCACACACACGGCCACGTGTTCTATGTGGTATTCCCCATAGCATCAGTAGTTCCAAAATGAAAACCTGCATATGAAAAGTGACTGCAGGCACATCACCTTGGAAATAAGTAAAGGGTATGTACAAAAGTCCCTCAGCTCTGTTTATCATATTGCAGCCCTCCTTTTCAGACTGAATCACAGAGCATCTCTCTCTCCTCTCATGCCTATGCCTGCTGGGAGCACTGACCCTGCAGGTACTGCCACAAGTTGCCTTTGTACACACAATGAAAAATTAGAAAAGAAGCCTGAGGAATCTCCTTTGTATCATTTGGGAGAGCTTTGAGGCTTCTAAGGTCAAGGAATATTGAAAGGCCTGTGGGATCTTTAAGTCAGAGGCCCCAAAGGGAGAAATAAAATGTCTCACAGGTCATCCTGACCTTGTGGTGGCATGAAAAATTACAAACTTGGAAAAGTGCTTCATACTCTGTACCCTGCTGTGCAGAACTGGGGTGGAACCTGCAGAGAAGACAAGACAATCCTTAGTGGATTGTATTTGAAAAACACAGTGTAAAAAAGTAGAGAAGGACATCAGCAAATCAAAAGCATAACCCAGAATGAGTCATTTTCTGAATTTCATTGGAATCTGAATTTGCTGGAGACTGTCTGAGTGGGTATGGGGATAGTTTCAAGCAGTGTTTCTCTGAACAGAAATGTTCTAGTTACAAGAAATAAAAAGGAGTTTTTCAAAATTCAAGAAAAGCTCTATTTAAAGAGGAAAAACAGTGTTATATGTGGCTACAAGGTCTTTGGTATCTCCTTGCTCAGAGATAGGAACAAAAAGGAGAACAAGTTGTCTTTTCTGGGCTAACCATAGAAGCAGAAAGCTTCACTGCCCTTTGTAATGTTTAAAATGGAAATGAAAGGTGGGGCATGTCTTTGTGCTTATATAAAGTTGGAGGAGGAGTTGGCTAGGGCTGAAAACACATCCCAAGTGCAATCTCAAAGACATGTTCTCTCAAGGAAGGAAGGAAGGAAGGAAGGAAGGACTGTGCCCCCTGAAGCTGGAGCCGTAGTTAA